CTTCTTACCATAGAAATCAATTTATTTTTACACCATTGAATATATTCATTATCAGTCCTTAAATTACTAATTATTCGGAACTGGCCAAAATCCGGAACTGGCCAAACGACTGTAGTTGTTTTTAAAATATATTCCAACAGTTTTATTTCTAATTAGTGCAGGAATGTGTAATATTAAAGTTGTTCAAAATAAAATGAAATTATGAAATTAGTGTTTCTTAAATTATATTTTTATCACTCGACGGTTTAAAAAGAGTGAACAAGACCGTTATCTTCATTTGACGTACTTTCAGAAGACATTGCTTTATAACATACAAGGAGAAAATGCCAATTTATGAACTGCGGGATTTTGAAGAGTTTTCCCTAAGTACTCTTCAGTAAGGGAGTGCGGGAAATACTAATACGTTAGAATAACAATGATTTAAGCTTCTCATAAATGATATGTTATATAATACTAATTAAAGAGATACCCAGGGATGACACGCATTTTTCGGCATGACAAACAAAATATGTTTCATTTTAGATATGGCAAAAAAGTGATGTTTATTTAAGAAAGACAGCAAAATGTTACGTTCAACTAAGAAAGAATGAATTTTAAAAAATGTGAATTAGCAAAATTGAGATGTTCATTTTAAAAGAAATGTTTGACGCTCATTTTATAAAGGGATAGCAAAACTATAAGAGGGACTGTGTTCAATTTATGCCCTGTTCACACAGAGAGTTTAATTCGCAGTAAATTATGCCCTGTTCACACGGAGATTTTAATTCGCAGTAAATTAATGCGAAGTAAACTAATGCGCATCAAACAAATGCGAATTAAATTGCGTTCACACGACAGCTAATGCGAAGTAACCTAATCCGAATTAAAATTTTACTTCTGCAGCCCAGCGTCAGCAGGCTATTATGACGTCATTTGCAAATCACGTCACCTTCTACAGAAGCAGATCCATTTGACATAATGGCAAAGTGTCTATATACACATTTTCATGATTAACAAAATTTTCCTTAGTTTTTCACTCAAAAATAGCACAAATACCTAAAGCTGACCATCGACAAGTGGTATTTGACTAAATTTTGCCATTACACATGACTCAGAATTTAATTCGAATTAGCTTCGCTTAGCGTTCACACGGAGCTAAAGCGAAGTAATTTAATGCGCAGTAAACTAATTCGAATTAAACTAACTCGCATTAAATTCTCCGTGTGAACGCTAAGAGAAGCTAATTCGCAGTAACTTTATGTTTAATTCGAATTAAACTCTCCGTGTGAATAGGGCATTAATGCGAAGTAAACTAATGCGAATTAAAATAATGCGAATTAAATTGCGTTCACACGACAGCTAAAGCGAAGTAAACTAATGCGAATTAAAATTTCATCTCTTCAAAAAGACTATTCAGTAAGGCTTTTATGACGTCATTTGTAAATGATGTCATGTATGCAGAGCCATCAATTTGATATAATAATCATAGTGGCTACAGGTATATATTTAGTGATTACCATACTTATCCTTGATTTTTGAACCAAATATACCACGGATACCTATATTTAACCACCAACATGTGTCCTGTGACTTAATTCTGGCCTTACGTATGCGTCAAAATTTAATTCTAATAAGCTTTTCTAAGCGTTCACACGGAGCTACTGCGAAGTAATTTAATGCACAGTAAATTAATTCGAAATAAATTAATTCGCATTAAATTTTCCGTGTAAACGCTAAGCGAAGCTAATTCGCAGTAACTTTACGTTTAATTCGAATTAAACTCTCCGTGTGGACAAGGCATTAGAAAAACAAAGCATTTTTATATGATGAGTTTTTTTTTCTTTTTTGTTTTTTTTCGCTTGCTCCTTTCTGTCTAATCCAGAAAAACATTGTGAGTACATAATTTCTTAAATAGAATTGTGATTTGGGCGCTTTTAAACTGGGGTTAAATTGTTTGCAATTATTTCGACAGGGCGAAAAGAAGAAGGGTAAAAATTCACTAATTTACTCTGCATACACATAAACTCCTCCATGACACCTGATCCCAGCTCTGATGTTTTGAAGGTCCATGCAAGTGTTTGCTCTGCTCTTCTATTTTGTATTGTTTTATGGATTTTTGATCTTGAATACTGTTGGTTATCTCAATATGATTTACATGTATACAGTTCTTTGCCAGGAAATTGCAGATTTTTTAAATTTTAAATCACGCACCTCCGATGACATATACTTATATTTTGTTGTCCCGGAGAAAATTCTTCTCTCGGAAAATATTCTACGACGGTATCGATGAACTATTAAAGTTGAATTAAGGATCCTCACACATAGTAACCGATGAAATTACGTTCAGAGCGAAAAATCAACCGTAACATTAATGGTTCATACCAATTCTGTGACTTCCGAAAAATTCCTAACATTACAAGGTAAACAATTTTCCCAAATGCATGAAGGCTTGGATAAATAATAATTACCTACCGTTCCTATAAATATGTACTTTTTTCTCCTTTTGATACATTGTCTTATGAAGCTAATATTTCCTCAGCTGTATAAATAAGAATTTCTAATTTACATGTACCATCTCCGAGAGTCGATTAAATATTTCAATTCAACTATTTTAGATAAAATTCTCCCGATAATGGTGAAACATTCATATAAACTTATCATTTGATCTGGGGTGTTTTGTGTTATGTTGGCGAGTTAATGAACACCATTTTGTTGGTGTTCACTCACAGAGCCCAAATACATATAAATTTAGAACAAATGCGGAGAATGAATTTAATATATCATTGAAATAGTTTTCAATGACATTTAATTCCTAAAGATCTTTTCATATTGTTATAATATATCTTATATGACAATATTGGAAACAAGTACCCATATATAATCATTTAAGATCAGAAATCAATGACGCGTTATCACCACAAATTCTAAATTAGAAATAATTGTGATGGATGCATTTGATATATCATCGATAATAATTATCATTGACATTTCAAACTAATTAATATTTTTATATTGCTATAATATATCTTATATGACAATATTTGAAACAAAAAATACCAATATATAATCATCTTTAGATCAGAGAGGAACAACCTTCCATCATGTTTATTACCACAAGATATTCTATCTCTGTATATTATGGCATATGCCGTATATACTCACCTAACAGTCGGCTCCCCTATAAGTCGATTGTACATGTATTAAATTGGGAGAGGGGGATTTTGGGTACTCCTATAAAATGTTTTTCTAATGAATGTAAGTATCTACCGGGTATACTAACGTATACGTCGGTCCGCCTTTAAGTCGGTTGTAGTTTTTGTATTAATTTTGGAGGTATTTGACACTGACCCGCTTATAAGTCGGTACAACTTTTTGTCAGATTTGGTTGACAATTTTTAATCAATGATGTGATGTTTTAACATGGTTTCAGTCAATATTTATTTCAAAATGACCTGGATATCTTTTGATGAATCATTAAAAGATAAGTAATGCACACCGACGATTGAAATAAAACAATTAAAATTATAAATATTTGTACTTTATTCATAATCCTATACTTTTAAATAAATAAATATATAATCAAATATATAGAGAATGTGTTTAAAGATAAGCTGCAGTATTGTGTATAAACTACTACTTTGGTTGCCCAGAAAGAAATACCAATGAATCTTTCAATTAGTCGCCATTAAGTCGGACACAGAGTTTTGGACCAATATTTCACTCCCATATAACCGACTTATAGGCGAATACAGTGAAACCTGACTAATCCGAAATGCATTGGAAGACCAACTTTATGTTGGAATATACTGGGTGTCGGATTGCACAATGATTGATTGATGTACATGGTAGTTTTAATTTTTGTGTAAAATATTGCTTGTCTTGTCATTTCATATAGCTGGATAATCCCACCAACAGTTTTGATCGATTGATTATATATTGTTAAACGTCCCTCGAGAATTTTTACTTACATGGAGACACAACCATTTGCCGTTATAGAGCTGCAAATTTTGTCCTATATTCGGCACTCAGGGCCATTGAGTAGGGAGGGATCCTTTTCGTGCCAGTGTCACGAGACCTCGGTTTATACGGTCTCATCCGAAGGACCGGTGTCCACGTCCCACAGTGAGATTCAAACCCGCGACGTAAGGATCAACTCCTTACTTCGCAATTCTAGAGCAGACGCTCTAACCACTGCGCCACGCGGGCGACTGATTGCGTAGTGTAAAACACATGAAAAATAGTAAATTGGGAAAGAAATTTAATGTCGGAATTCAAAAGTGTCGGATAGCACGGGTGTCGGATTAGACAGTTTTCACTGTATATACGGTATATTTGTTATCGAAATCGTCTGGATTCAAAACATTTTGTTACTTCAATATTGTTGTTCAAATTTGATATTATTGATTGATTAATTCTTAAAATAAATTTAATTCTCCCAACTGGACTTTCTCTGAAGGATATCAAATGTAAAAAGCATCCCAAAAGTCCCCTGGAGCAGTTCTGTGCCCCGTGTGGTGTTCCCTTCTGTGTGGAGCGTACCAGCTCTGAGGGTCACAGCAGACATGACCTTAAAAATATAAACAATTTTGCAAAAGTAAACAAATCATACTATAATTGTGACTGAGGGCTATTAAAACAAGGTGAAATTGTTTTTAAGTGTGAAAGTGCGAAAAAAAGATGGATCAAAAAACACCCTGCATACAGTACTTGGTCAAAAAATATGCAAATTTTCAAAATTAAAAATCATTTCAGATGACAATATATGTGCCAGTCATATATATGTGTTATTCTTATTATATTTTGTTATAAAAAGTATGATTCAATTTAAAGTTTCAATATTTTGACAGTATAAAAGTTTCTTACTTTTGAGTAAAAAGTCATTTTTTTTCTATTCATGTTTTCTCTTGGTATGTAAGTGCATGAATGCAGGGCATCATAACTGTATAAATATTACAATTTTATGCTAAAGTGACACTTAAGCGGGAATTGCATCCTGCATATAAATGATTGTCGACTTCTATTATCGTTCTTGGCTGTGTTTACTTTTCACCTTCCAGCCATTGCACATAGACGGATGTAATGCTTATCATATAAAGTGCTTATCATGAACAACTACCTTTGTGACAAACCTCTTTATGTATATCCGTGATGGTTGACATTTAAAATTGTTTAAGGAACTCTTTTTACGTGCTCTAACAACGTTCGTTACATTTAAGATGGAGGAAATATGGAAACAGACATTGATGTTCGTATTATTATTAATAGGAGAAGGTAATTTTTCATAATGTTCTAAATGAATTGAAAAGTGCACACTTTTGAAACTATTAGTAATTTTTTTTCTGTTTATTGTTTAGATGTTTAGTAGATAATCGAGATTGAAATGTGTATGTACAATTATTAAAAGGTAAACATGGGACTGAATCACTGAGGTTGTTTTTTTTTCATTTTTCACGTTGATTTATGCACTGCAATTGTTGACCTGCATAGAATGTTGTTTATATTAGATATTCAGAATTTTAAAATTAAATTTTTGCCGCGTAAATAAAGTGCAAATGTCAATGTAATAAAAATACATCGTGTATTGCATTATTTTTCCACAGGTGCGTGTTTGTCATCAAAACTTGACGCCCTACAAAAACAGTATGGAGAGTGGAGACTTCAGCGTTCTCCGGAATATTCAACTTCTCTGGGCATATACAAGTATAATGACAAAGTGGAAAAGTTTGCATACTCAGGATTTGATGAAGAATATGTACGATAGATTATAGTAATATATAAATGTAGTTCTACAATTAATTAATTGAAAGAAATATATATTCAAATTAAATATATAAAATTGCTCAATAATCCAGTTTCTTTTCTTTTCATATTCTTTGGGATAATTATTCTTCTTTCAATTATGTAAAATTATTTGAGCTCCTGTTTTGTATTGTTTTGTGGACTTTTGATCTTGAATACTGTTCGTTATCTCCATATATTTTATTGAAAGAATTATACATACATTTACTATATATTTAAATTGTAGACCAAATGCCTAAATCTACTAAAGGATTTGAAAAATATTGACTACAACCAACTTACATCGAAAGAGAAGACTGATTATGACATTTTTAACGATACATTGACGACTATCGTTCGCGGACATGATTGGCGAGAGTAAGTTCACTCTGTTAAATAGGATTACGATAGAGGCAAATAATTTCGTTGTTCGGGAAAAAGCAATCGATAGTCAACCTTATCTCTAAAAGTCAACCTAAAAGTCGGTTTTGGGGAGTGAAATTTTGGTCCGATTGATAGGCCAGTCAGTGAAAGATTGGTATTTTTTTCCGTGACGACCAAAAGAAGTATTTCATAAATAATCCCGCAGTTTAATGCTAAAACACAGTCTTCATATATCATGCATAAAGTACAAATGTTTATAAAATTTGAGAGTTAATTTCAATCTTCTGTGTGCATTACTTATCTTTTAATGATTCATAATTAGATATCAAGGTCATTTTAAAACAAATATTGACTGAAACCAGGTTAAAACATAACATCATTGATTTGAAATTGTTAACAAAATCTGCCAAAAAGTCGTACCGACTTGTAAGCGGGTCAATATCAAATACCTTCAAAATAACTACAAAAAACACAACCGATTTATAGAAGGACCGACTTATACGCGAGTATATACGGTAATGTTTAACACAGGAGGGCACCAGGACATTTTTTCTGATTCAAATGGAAATCATATTTTCATTAGAAAAAAAGGCATGAAATTAAAACAATTCTTTTCACAAGGAAATTAATGATTTTATTTCAAATGTCGAAATGAATTTTTCATGTTTTATGAAGAGAATATTAACATTCAGATCGCTTAAAATAGACTAACAATCAAAAATATCGAATACTTCATTTAATTTGTTTATATATGGAACTCATAAGAATTCAATAATCACGATAATCTTTATATCTTCCATGGCTCTATAAAAAGTTACAAAATTCACTGATGTATTTGAGTATAAAATTATTTTTTAAATATATTCTTTAATTTCTTAGCTACAATGCCTTGAACCCAATCAATTTTTTGGAGGGACCACAAATTGACCCATCAGAACTTCATAAAACAACACCATTTGACACCATTGGTGATTTTGAAAACTACTTAAGACGACTGGAATTATTTCCAAAGCAGGTATAGGGGTAAAACATAATGCATTTAATAGTATTTGTTTTGAACTGATAAAAGCAAAAAAAGGGTCCTCAGTTTTCTTTCTCATCATGGATCAGCAGAAAGTGTTCAGTTTCCATAAAAATGATTTATTGATTGCATTTTGTTGTAGCTGTACATCAAAGCATAAGAAACATGCACAATAATAATACACGAACACAAATTCGTCACAAAATAAATCCTGAACTCTGCTTCGGACATGAACATAAAAATAGGAAAAGAGAAAAGAAAAAAGGCAATTGTCGATTTATATCATTTATACCGCAAGCAATGTGTTTAATTTTCTTTCAATTTCATGAAAATCTTTTAAAGTACTGATATTTGTTAATACAATTATCCTGTCGTTTTGCATGTCACCATAATAAATAAAAAACGTATATTTATTACTTAAAAATAAAAACTGGTCTCAAAACTTCCTATTGAACTAAGTCATAGGAAATGCAGCGGAAGGAGGACAAAAGGCCCCTTATGAATTCTACTGTGTTTTGTATTTATAAATAAGGATGTTTTTACAAGGGCAAACGTAATATTCCTCTTATTATACCTCCCGCTATATATATACTCTTTATCAAATAAAAATCTCCTCTCATATCACTGAATGAAATTTGATGAAACTTTCAAAAAATTGCCATTGTGATCGTCACAAAATAAACCCTGTGAGCTACTATTTTACATTTTGATCCGACACATATTTTGGGTTTGTCACAGCAAAACATGGACACTGTCTTTATATTCATATGGGAGACGGGGGTATCATTTAGTGAGCTCGCTGCTCACAGTACCTCTAGTTTATATTTCCTTACCACATAAATTCATTTGAACATAAACAAAAAAAAAAGTTTTATTTTCATGAAAAATTTGTCAGATATTCATCCTTTTTTAATTAAGATTTCCATTCATATTTAATTTGATCGATGCAGAATTGTTTTATATGTTTGCTTTATTTTTAATACTTGCATAAGGTTTACCTAATTATTGTATTAAAAGTCGTTTCACTCAAAAAGGTTTAAAACCATGAAATGTCTGAGCAATAAGATAATGGAATGAAGACCGACTCAAGTTTGGTGTGTCTAAAATCCATTATAATGATAAACAATTCAAAGCAACGAGGCTGTATTTAAAGCAAAAATAACAGGAGGGTCACCATGTAGTGCACAGTTTAGTTTTAGATTTTACAGTATTTGTGATAGGATGATTCCATGACACCTTTGTACGTAGAAATACATATATTATATAGAAATTCTTTCTTTTCTAAATTCAAAACAAAGATACAAAACAAGATACCAAGCATCTCCACGTATTGTAATTTTAATTTTTAAACGAAATACATAAAGTGGCAAAGTGCAACATACCTAAGTGTTTTGTTGTTTATAAAAATGGAGAGTGAAGGTTGTTTCTTGAAGTTCTACGATAGTACAATAACTGTGAGTTGAGTTCGTGGCAGCACACAGAAATGTTAAGGAATGAGATGTTCTACAAATTATTTTTGTTTTTGTTAAAAATAAATTGCAGAGGCAGCTGAACTTAAACTGGATTAAAACATAAAAAAACATACAAGAATTGATTATTTTTATTTATTTTTACTTACATTTCTTCTTCTGACTTTTTTCCAGATAGACGAAATGATAGAAAGATTCAATAAGTCCATAGAAAAAGGACACACATATCATAACGTATCGGTGGTATGTAAAAGCACAATACTATATTGCAGTCTAATTTTTGAACAAATTTATAAGGTTGTATTTCTGCATAAAAACTTTAAAAAATAATTTGTTTTCCTACTGTATCCTTAGGTTTGTACATCTTGCTTATATTCAAAGTTCTTAAAGAATTGAATTTCTGTGTATAAGGCTCATGTTGATTTTACATTGTATCTGCGCATGCTTACCGTATTTTTTCAGCATAATTATATTGAAGACTAGTAACAGCTATCAGCAAATTAAATCAGATTTCTTTTATTTCATCACAGAACAGGGTTCCAGAACAGATAGATGACATCCTTAAAGATGCCAATGATACAAACTTTTCAATGTACGAACCATTTCGCAAGAAACTGACGGACAAGAAAACCATTCCTGATACGAGAAAGTAAGAATTTACAATAAAACTTTTAAAAGAGAGTTTTGGTTTTTTATGAGTATGCAGAAGCCCGTTTATGCCGTTGAAGATAAACAGGACTTGATTTACAGTGTACTCAAGCCAACAGATGATCAAAGAAATTCTTTTGGGTTGTGTGGTGAGATTTGTAATCGTTGCAATTTTCATGTTACCTATGTCACTCGATAAAAATTCAGAACACTTGCATATATGCCTGCATATTTACATGTACAAGTATGTATTGCGTAGTAGATTTATCGTAAAATATTGCTAAATATAACACCAGTTTCGATAATCAGATAAACGTATAATTATGTAGAGAGAATTATATCCTGCGTCCATTAATTGAGATCTGAATCATGAAATAAAAACAAGATGTGTTTGTGAAAAACTGATGCCCTGTTATAGCAACAAAGTTAATTTTCTCAAATGCAAATCGAATATGTTAGCACCCCCGTTGGAAACCAAGGCTGATTTCGCTTTGTTCCTCTCTCCATCACCCGGGAGATGGAGAGAGGAACGATCGAAGCGTAATAAGCCGTGGGTTTCCGACGATGTTTCGAACGCAATTTCAGAAAGGCCTTCTCTCAAGAGATACAATTTTGAAAAATAAAAGCTCTAGCACCACCTTTTCAAAATTTAAGACCAAGATTTAAGTTTTTTCAGGGAGGTCAAACTCCAAAGTCAAAGTTATTGGTTTTAAAAGAAATGTCTCCTCATAAGAATTACATATGTTAAGTATGAAAGCCCTAGTCTTTACCGTTCAAAAAGTTATGGCCAAGGTTTAAAGTTTTTAAAAAGTGGGTCAAACTTCAAAGTCAGGGTAAAGGATAAAAGTTGTTGGTTCCTTAAAGAAATATCTTCTCACAAGGAGTACATATGTGAAGTATAAAAGCCCTAGCCTTACCTTTCAAAAGTTATGGCAAAAGTTAAAGGTTTTTTTTTTAAGTAGATCAAAACTTTAGTCGAAAAAATAAGTAGCAACTGTTCCTTCGCCATGCGCTCGGCACTTTAAGTGAAAGATGCAGGTCCTTCGGAGGTGACCTCAAAAACCTATGTCCCTTGTCACGGCTGGCGTTAGAACAATAAAGATCCTTCACTGCTCAATGGCACCGAGTACTAGTGCCGATCGCGAGTAAAGATCAAAATTTTAAGTCCTTCACCTGTATTTGGTGATGTCTCTACATGAGTGAGAATTCTCGGATGGGGTGTAAAAAAACATACAATCAAATATTGCAATGTTCAACAGCCAGTTATAATAAATGTTTTCATATCCTATATTAAGTTACAAATATAATGTTGCTGAAAATTTCCAAATATGTTTCTCTATCAAAATTTCTTTTGAATAGGTATATTAGAAGATTGCATTCATTCATTATTTGTTATCTTGTTTTCAGAACAGATATCAGATCAAGGGCCAAATCAGCCGTTAATAACATTCTTCAGAAGTACAGTGACCTTAAATCTTATCTAGAGAATGTAAGTTACAGTGCATTACTTCTAATAGAGACTTCATAACTTTGAAGACAACGAGCAGTTACCAAGTTCAGAAACCCACTGGAACAATAAAAATTGGGAGCAAAGCAAACACAGACCTCTAAAACCACCAGAGGTGGGATAAGGTGGCAGAGAAGAGTAAGCATTCCCTGCAGACTGGTCACTACCGCTTCGTGCTTATAGCTTATCGTCATGATCTGAAATCTGAGCAATCCGAAGATAATTCAATATGAAAATAAGGGTTAAAAATCTTTAACCACCTTACAACATTGTGTTGACCAGAGTCCTGCGAAATGCTGTTAAATAAAACTGTTGTCTTATTTGTCAAAAGCTGTCTTTGTTATTATATCTACCGTTATTTTAAAACTAGGAACTTTTATTCAATTTATGCTGCAATGTACATACATGTTATTTTCTCTTTAGGTGTACTTTAGTCATCTAAGACCGGGATTTGGAGTAAGTACTTGGGGTAAAGGAGTGGAATTCTACAAGGAATGTCTACGATGGCACCTCTCTTTGGATTTGTCTCCAGAAGAAGTACACAATAAAGGACTACACGAAGTTGAGAGAATTTCGTCAGAAATGAAGAAGGTTGGATCGATTTTTTGGAATATTTTTTTAAACTTAGTTCATTATATGTAACATGTAGAACATTATGGTTTTGTTTTAGGTCATGCTTAAATTGAATCACCGCGGCTCTGTAAAGCAGTTTTTTGATGACATCAAGAGGAATTCATCGTTCTTTTTAAAGTCTGGCGTAAGAACTATATTTTAATTAAATACAAATTTCTAATGAATCAAAAACTTTTTTTGATAAAGTTTGAAGTCATTTTTTAAAATTCCATGTTATGTTATGTGCGTTTTCTCTTTTATGAGTTGATGGGGTTTTTTTTCAGGATGAGATTATTCAATGGTATAAAAATGCGATTGAAAAGGATATTAAACCCAAATTACCATCTCTGTTTAAAAACAATCCAGATTTGCCTGTAGAGTAAGTTTGAAGATATCTAGCGTTTAAGAATATTTTCATTATTTTACACTTCACAAATTTGTCAATAAACATGTCAAATTATTTACTTTTCCATCAGTCATAACAAGAATTGTACTGACAAATTACGAGGCCAAATTTCTATTTTTCTGTTCAAAAAGTGACACATCATTATTTTAAAAACAAGATTATGAGATTATGTAAAGCGTCAAATTGCCGAAGAGTCAATTTTTCAAGATTTGAAGGTAAAACTGATAAAACAAAATGACAATTATGATTTTACTTAAGAAAAAGGTGTTCAGATGCTTTTTATTATTTATAATCAAGCACGATTTTGAGTCACATTGACAACGATTTCTATATTATGCATATAACAGTAAAAAACATTTTCCTTCTGCCTGTTGTTTTAGTGTACAGCCTAACCCAATAGATGGAATTGGAGGTCAGTATTTAGCAGGACCCCCCGACGGTTCACGACCCGGAGTGTTCCAAGTCAATGTTTTCCATCCCAATAAATCGTATGTTTATGTCGCTGGACTTAAAGTTTTTTTTAAATGCTTGTGTCAGAGTAGAGCTTTTCATTTATCTCTTAAGTGTGACTTAATTTTAAGCTCTGTTCCATTTTAATGCATAAGAAAGATGAACATGATTGGACAATTTGATATGAAGATTTTACAAAAATTAACAGTTTAAAAATCATGACTTTCAACTAAATATACACAACCACTCTCCACGATAAATTAAAGTCCAGGTTTTTTTTTTACTTCATTGACAGCTTTTTTTTCAATAAAAATGGAACTCGTAAATTTACTTACCTTGTCATTGGTCATTTTCAAAATTATTCTGTTAAAAACATTCTGATTATACACACAAGTACTCTGAAGTTAACATCAAAAAGATGCTTGAGTTTCTGATTGAAAATATCTATGCTGATTTTGGAGACCAGGTTTTCCAACAATCTATTGGAATTCCCTTGGGTACCAATTGAGCCCCTTATGAGCAGACCTATTTTTGTATTCATATGAAGCAGAATTTGTACAAAATTTTATGCTTGAAAAGAAGGAAACAACTTGACATTTAGATATATCGACGACGTATTGTCAATTAACAATGGAAATTTCCTTGACCTTATGTTTGATATTATATAATATTTTTAAACTTGGCCATAAATTTTGGTGAGCTTGAGATAAAATATATTTATCACAGATTAACCTTCACATCTGTTTCATACTAGAATATTTTACTTGAAAAAGACGTTAACCTTTTCAAGAACTTTTCAACACCGTAAGGGCTAGATGACTTTAACTTTTCTAATTCTTGTGACAACTTCCCTTACTTACGCAGCAATAAACCTTCATCATGTGTATTCTTTGAGTTTATATATTTTAATTTTTTTTAACCTTGGCCATAATTTTCTAAAACGAGAAAAAATGTTGACACACAAGTTGATGAAGCAAGAATGTGAGCAGTCTCGTTTAAAGTATTCTTTTAGCAAGTTCTATAGTCGATACAATGACGTTGTCAGCAAATACAATTTATAATTGAGTCAAATGCTGACTGACGCTTTTCAAACTAATTCTTAGTCCATTTTGATACACTGAATTGATGACGGATCTTTCCGTTATTGCCCGATCATGACAAGGAGCACACGGCGGATGTGACCGGTATAGGTACTAATATATTCAATTTGCATTTAAGAAAAGTTTAATCTTCACTATGTTTTGGAGGTCAGTGTTTCACAAACACATCTTATTTTTAAATTTTTGTCAGGGTAGTTTGATCACGTATATATCGTTATCTCCATATATTTCATTAGTATCGCTTATTGAATTTGATTGTTAATATTATAAAGCACACACTCAAACCTTTCAAAAACATACATATTTTTACTTGTATGAAGATATACATTCGAAAAACACGGATTGTGTATAATGTTCCATAAAGCAGCCCTCAACTACTAAAACTAGTATGTATATTCTTAAACCCTTTAACGGTGAATAAATGTGTAGCTCACAATTTTTTTTTTCTAATTTGTTTCCTCATATACCCTACTTTTTTTATTATATTTATCTAATCACTGATGTTTTTTTTGTGCTTGGTTTGTTTGTTTTGTTTGTTTGTTTGTTTTTCGTTTTTTGTTTTTTGTTTTTTGCTTTTTTTTTCAAATGTACATTGCATTCAACTATAAAGATTATCTATATTTGAACAAAAACAAAATTTTAGTAATATCTCTCAATTGCATTATACTGTAAACCAACTTTTATTCGGCACTTGAAGTGAAATTCACAAGTTTTGCGGATGAACTTTAACTCGCGTTGGTCTACGCCACACACTAGTATTTTGCTTTGTATTTGTCACTGATCAATGTTCCTGGTCGCGAAAAAACATTCGTCGCGGTTCGATTTCAAACCGACAAATCGCGAATAAAAGATGAAGCGAATAATAGCTGGTTTACAGTATATCAATTAGATGAATGACAAAAATAAGTTCAAATTATGCTTATCATTACTAAGAATGGCAAAAAATTAAATGTAAATGAAATATTTAAATTCACATTCTTACGTTATAATTTCTCTTTTCCTTGTAGAGTAACAATAGATTTCATGGCCCTCTTGCTTCATGAAACAATACCAGGTCATCATTTGCAGGTTAGAAAATGTCTTGCATTTAAACTTAGGATCTCAAAAACATATTTCTCACACTCATTTTTTTATTTTTTGGAGGGGGTTTATTTGAATAAGGTTTGAACATCAACAGTCAGCAGATCTGTTTGTTTTGTTTTTTTCGAATTAGGGGAAGTAGCGTGATCTTCTTTTTCTTGTTTCATTATTGAATTCTGGCAGGTAGAGTGATATTATTGTTTTAATTTTTAGGGTAGTATCCAGTCAACTCAGGCAGGTCCAGCATACCGCAGACAGAACCTTGACGATAAATATTTTCAACCCCCAGCACTCCCTCCTTTTTATACTGCTTACTTAGAGGTGAATAAATTAGTAGTGATAATTAGAAGATATGTTTTGCATATATTTTTAAATCATCGGATATAGATAAAGTAGTCACAATAATTGCTATATTTTCTTTTAACAAGAGTTAAATTATTTACATCTGAAGAAATATTATTTAATGCCAGGCTAAAGCATTTATTATTTTCAATACATTCAAAATATGTAATATGTTTGAATAATAAGTAGTACTTACAAGTGATATTGTTTATCAGTAACGGTTGTAAACCAACCTTTTAAGAAAATGATTTTTAGCTCACCAGAGCCGAAGGTTCAATTTTCTGATTCATCGTAAACTTTTCACATTTTCGTCTTCTTCTTAAGAACTACTGGACCAATTTCAACTAAACTTTTTGCCTTGGTTAACGGCATTTACTTTAATCAAATGATAATGGGAGATAATTATGAATTAGTGAAAAATTAATGGCAACATTTAAAAATTCTTCTCAAAAACCACTGGACCCGGAAAGATGAAACTCATGTGTAAGTACTCTCAGGTAGTGTAGATTCAAGTTTGTTCAAATCATGACCCCCAAGATTAGGGTGGGGCCTAATGGGAATAAAAAAGGGAAAATCTTTTAAAATCTTCTCTCAACAACCACTGGGTCAGGAAAGATTAAACAAACTCTTGTGGAAGCATCCTCTGGTTGTGTAGATTCAAGTTTGTTCAAATCATAACCCCCGGGAGTAAGTTGTGGCCAAAGTGGTGCTTCAAAGTTTAACATAGAATACATACATGTAGGAAGATCTTTAAAAATTTTCTTCTCAAGAACAGCAAAGCAATGATTGGTCATAAACTCATATTTATATGAAAGTATTCTCTAAAGGTGAAATTCAAATTTGTTCAAATCATCGCCCCCGGGGATAGGGTGGAGCCATAATGGGGGGAAGAGTCAAAGATTACATATGAAACATAGGAACACATAGGAAAAATCTTTTAAAATCTTCTTCTCAAGAACGGCAAAGCCATGATTGGTCAAAGTTATATTAAAGCATCTGCTTGTAATGTATATTCAAGTTTCTTTAAATCATGACTACTAGGGCAAGAGTGGAGCTATAATGGTTGAACAAAGTTTTAAAAAGATTTTCATAGAGAAAATCTTTAAAATTCTTCCTCTCGAGAGCTGCAAAGCTGTGATTGTTCATATTTTTTATGGAAGCATCCTCGGGTAGTGAAGATTTAAGTTTATTCAAATAATTTATCCCCCCCCGTAAATAGAGTGGGGCAACTATGGGTTTTACGTAGGACTTCACAGGATATATCGTTCAAATTCTTCGCAAGATCCACAAAGGCATGATTGATCAATATAAAAGCACCAAAAAAGGTAATGTAGATTTAAATTTGTTGAAATCATGACTAGCCAGGAGAACAGAGGAGTCATTAAAGTGGATCATAATTAAACAAGGGAATGTAAAGGCTATATCAATAAAAATTTTCATCTTATAAACATCAAACCTATTTTGTATCCTATTATTTTAAAAGCATCCGTAAAAGGTATAGATTTAATTTTGTTCAAATCCCCCTCCTCTGAATCCATATTTATATTTAAACTTCAATACTGACCTTAGTTTTGCCTTTACCTAGCCAGTTGTTCAGGTGAGTGATGTGCTCCCCGGGCTCTCGTTTTAAAAACTATTGTCACGCGTTTTTCTTCAGTCTAAAATTTAAGCATAATTCTTTGGATTCATATAAATTGACAGAACATTTTTGGCTTTTTTTTTTAGATTTCTCTTCTTCTTAGGACTTTTCTTGCATTACTTCGAAATTGGAGTTCGTCTTAAAAATATTATGAAAAATCCAAAAATGAAAGATGAACTCACAAAAATTATATATATAAATTTCTTTTACTATGCTCATAAATTTCTACAATTTTTTACGATATTACATGAAAGTAGTGTACATTTTTTTCCGATCCTGTATTGACAGAGGGTGTATCTTTGATTTCAACTAAAATGAATTTCTTCCACTTGTAGATATTTATAATCTACTTGATGTTTTGATATTATGGATTCATTGAATGATAGTCTAATTGTTTTGCATTGAAACACAGGGATGGGCACTGTATGCTGAATCTTTGGGAGAAGAGATGAAGTTGTACAAGACTGATTATGATCTGTAGGTGTTTTATGTTAGATCTACATAATTTTGAAATATATAATATAATATAGATTTTTAATTCTTTTCTAGCAGTCAACTATGTTATCTATGATATTCTTTAATTTATTTCTATTTTCAGAATGGGAAGATACGGATCTGAAATTTTTAGAGCGTGTCGTCTTGTTGTCGATACAGGATTACATTACTTTAAGTAAGTAAATGTACTTCATGCTAAAGTTGTTCTGATGCACAAAGCAAAACCAGTCAGCATTTTTTTCTTAGTGATGAAATTTCCAGAATTGACAAGATTATTGTACTTTTGTCTGGCATAAACAACAAATCAGGGTTATATAAAAAAAATAAGTTTTTACTTGTATAATATGATAAATCGCTTTTTTCTTCTTAGATAACATTGAAGCGAAAAACATAAATAACGAAATGATCGTGTTCTTAATCTTTTATATTTCTCTGTCCTAGTTTTTTCACAAATAATTCTTCTGTCTTCTTTGTTCTTTAGAGGACAAAACACATGAAGCTTAATGAAATGTATAAAACTAGATCCTGTTTCATGTTATTATTATTTTCTGTTTGACATTAAAGTTGGACAAGAGAAGAAGCCATACAATATATGCTGAATTACACAGCTTACAGTGAAGGTTCTATTACGACTGAAATCGACAGGTACATTACCTGGCCGGGTCAAGCATGTGCATACAAGATAGGTGAACTCAAAATAAGAGAATTGCGCACAAAATCGGAAAACGAACTAGGTAATTCAATACTTACGTGTGTGAACAAAGGAATTTGATTTCCTTTTCTATTTCATTATATTTTTTCATGTACAAAAATTCAAATTTTATGAGGAATCAGTATCATTTACACAAAACAAAATATTGTGGATTTAATGTTTCACAAATGCTAGAAAGTTATATCAGACTCAGAATGTTTCAAAGGTATTTTGCTTTCCAACAACAAGGAAAAGGATAAGTAATAATTAAGTTAAAATAAAACTTGAGCAAGGTCAATATAATCTGATATTTTTTTTACTCCCAAAGGTTCCAAGTTTGATATCAAGGACTTCCATTACGTTGTTTTGAAAGATGGGGCTCTTCCACTTAACGTTCTGGAAAAAAATGTAAATCAATGGATTACAGACACAAAAAATAAACCTGCAGAAACACAAAAACAGTGTATTTCGGGTAGTTTTAGACATGAAACAAGTTTTAAAGTTTTAATAGCAACTTTCATTATCTCTTTTCTTTTGAATTAGTTCTCTGTCCTGTATGTTTAAACCTTTGATCTGTATTATTAATTACATTTACTAGTATCATATATTATTATTCATTAAATATAACCTTACCAGTTGAAGTGACATTTAATCAGTATAATAAATTTTCCATTGCTTTTCATATTTGTATCGACGTTTGTAATATTAGTTGAATATTCTGTACTCGTCATATATGTCTGTATTTTGATTTAATAATCCTTGTAAATAAATGGTGAAACTATTTCTATAATTATTAATGTTATGGACAGTCTTCGGTCTTCACATAATTTACACGAAAGATCAATTGCAAACAAAAACAATTCTCTGGCAATTATTGTAATGCATATTAATGTTAATGAACAATATTTTGATTTACAATATTTGCTGTTTAATTTTGTTAAGCTATCAAAAAAATATTGAATGGAAGATCTACAACACCGTAAAAAAATCGTAAGCAATACACGCAATGCAAAATAATATCAGTTTGGTTTTTTTTTAATATTGAAACATAAAAAAGGTTATTCAATGGTAAAAAGTGGAAAATGTCCAACTTTGTTATTCTTTTCTATTTTTTTTTTTTTTTTTTTTTTTTTTTTTTTTTTTTTGGGGGGGGGGTTGCATTTTATTCTGTTGTTTGTTTAATCACATACATGTAGTTTGAGTGTGTTTTAAACTTTTTAATATCAGTTCTCTTCTGTACATATTTTTTACTTTAGTTTTTATGCGAAGAGTAGTGAATTTCAATCTAAGGCTAAGGTCTTCACAATCATCAACATATTACTCAAGGCCTTCATATTTATTTCTTGGATATCTATGTCATAGTATGGATTTTTCATGTATTTCAAAATTTTGTTTGTATCTACTCCACTTTTTAGCCTGTCTTTAGTACACTCATTAATGATCACTGCCAATATATGAATCAAAAATATGTTCTATGTAAATATAGATTCCCTTCTCATTGTTCTATAGATAATATTTCTTATTAAATTACATATTTCTCTATTTTTAATGCATTGAAATGAAATACATGTATATCTTACTTTTTACGTGGTGATTGAACTGTCAAAACAATTTTAAAAACCTCATTCAGTGAACAGTAGCGAAAAGCAATGCAAAATATGTTATCAGATAATAACACAGCTATAATGCCTTTTTCGTGTGGACCTGTAGGATTATAACTACTACACAGAAAGATCATTTAATGTACATACACGGTTTTAAAAGATGAAGGAGAGTTTCATAGATCTATTTATTTTACGCCAATACCGTGTGTTCAATACTTTCTAATCTTTAGACAGGGTTAAGTTGCTTGTAATTCATTCGCTGGGAGGGGGAGTGGGGTACGATCACGATATTCACCTAAACTGTTCAATTGGAGTCCAATAGATATTATTGACACGTTTGCAGGAAAGTTTACTCGTCAGTTGTCATATTTCATTAAATAAAGTATATTAGAAACAAACTGTTTGTAAACTTACATGCAGAATTGATTAAAACAGGTCCATTTCTTACGGTGACAATTTTACAGACAATTTTCCATGACATTTGGCAAGTAACACCATTTCAGATGAATGGAACCATGGAGCCATCATCAAAATATCAAAGAAAGACAACTAGAACGAATGCAACAAGTATAGGGGAATAACACTTATTTCTATCCAAAGTAAAATTTTTCCTAAAATTGTTATACATGTTTCCGCAACTGTAGATGTCAAATTGCGTAAAGAGCAAGTAGGGTTTAGGCCATGCCGAGGATGTATGTATGGAATATTTACACTTAGAAACATTATAAAACATTGTACAGAATGGCAACGACAAATGCATGTTTAATTAATTTTATTGATTTCGAAAAAGCCTTCGACATTATTCATAAAGACATACTATGGAAATTATGCAGTCATACGGTACCCCATGATATCTAATAAATGTTATCAAGAGTTTTTATGTCAACTTAGAAATCAGAGTTGGAAATATCAGGCAAGAAAAATATTTAACAACTAACAAACTGTTTGGAGATCAAGTCAGTATGCAATAAGAACAAAGCTTAAACTATACAAAAGCTGAATTCTGCCTATTCTCTTGTATGGATCATAGTGTTGAAGAAGGATATAGAACGACCTGAAGCTGTTGACTTTCCAAACAAAGTCCCTGAGAAGGATCATAAGAATATTTTGGCCCAACACCATCTCAGATCAAGACCTTCTCAACAGCTACCTGCAAGAGGACATGGTTACAACCATCACCAGAAGACGCTAGAATTTGGCTATTTACGTAGAAGGGACTCAAACAGCATAGTAAAGAAAGCTCTCTTCTGGATACTCAAGGGAAAACGAAAGAGGGGAAGGCCATAAGTCACATGCCGAAAAACTGGAAGCTGAACTTAAAGACCTAAAGAGAAGCTGGGCACACTCCAAAAGCTAGCCAGTTACAGACAACGTCTGAGAACCCCCGTAACTGTCCTTAAAGGCGTCAAAGGCGGTGATCAAGTAAGTAAACATACAGACAACTAATACAACAACTACTTTAATTACTACATTTTTATTGTAAAACATTTCTATGTAAAATGCTAATACATAAAAATGAACTAGACAGTTGAACAAAATAAAATATTATTAGATTTCTTTCTCATTTGGAAAACTCATTGTTTATACATGTAGTATATTTTGACGATAAGGAACATTCAAATCGCCTTGACTTTGTACTAAAAAAGGTTACTTAAGGTACTCCAATCCTCAGGCTCTGTAATTCAGGTACAAACTAATTAACAATGCTCACAAAAATGTCTCTAAATTGTCAAAGTAATGTTTTTACCCTCGATGATTGTTCAAACTTTATCTTTAAGTTCATGAAAATCATATCTTTCTTCTTTAACGTAAAATTTAAAATTTGAGTATATTGATTGGGAGCATATTAATCTTTTTTAAAAGTGCAATACATATTTTGATAGCCAGGTAAATATTTTTTGCAGTTTATAAGCCCCTTAACACTAAAATAAATAAAGAAGCTTGTAAACAGTTTCTTAACACGGCAACATAAATTAAACAGACCCATGGACCATAAAATGTAGACAAACTCAATTTTGATTTCAGTCTTACTTTTCTACTTTTATGAAAGTGAGACTTAGATTAAATGTGAGCTCTTCGAAGTTATATATCCTCGGAGCCAGTAAATATAAATATAAAAATAAATGAATATTTGAAGGGAGATAATCTTCATTACAAGTTAAAAGCTTGGACATAACAGAAAAACCACTATGAAAATGGATCTAAAAAAACATACAGATATGAATTATCCACAAGAAAAATTGGCAGAGATGAACGAAAAAAGTTCACTGAGGAAAAAAAAAAACAATTCACATGCCGACAAAAGAAGAGGCCTGAATTTTTTTTTTTTTTTTTTTATTTTTTTCTTCAGATTTTGTGTGGTCGATCTCTGCAACTCCTGCGCCATGAAACAAAATAACCATTATCATTCATTACTATACAACATGTTAGACGTTAAACTCCAATGAAGATATTTGTAGATTGCTTTAAAATTCTCAATTAGGCATAAATTTACATTTAGTGCACATAGGAGCAATAAAGTTGGAAATACAACTATATGCATTTCTAAACCCATATGCAATGACTTAGGGGGGAAATTAGGGAGACAATTTTTCTTTCGAAAAGAATTTTAAACATTGTATAAGAAGCTCGGATCACAATAAAATTCTACAGACTAGTGCGTTCAGGTCCAATAAATTCCAAAAATTTACCTTGGTATAAAGGGCTCATTTAGCATATAAATCAACAACAGCAAATACCCTTCTGATCTTTTAACTGGGACGGGTCATTGTTTACAGGTAAGTTTTTCATTTATTTGAACAACAAGTGTTTTATTATGTTTACAAAACGAGGAACACTTTTGTAATGTAAGATTGTATAATTTTGTTTTCAGCAGGATGAATGTATGTTGGAAACTGACAGTGGCTCTTGTGTTATTTTTTATAAATGAAGGTATGAGTGATGTATATTTATTGATATAAAAGTTCCTTTAGAATAATAAAAACTAGATAAACTATTGTATTTACATTACAAACATGTTTTTAAAAATGCTTGAAGTGAAGTGATCTTTGTTGTTTCAAACGTAAACCATGACCTTCGGATAGATTTTTAAGAACTTTTTCAATGGTTGACACCGTTCCACTTCATTTATTTTTCTGCGCAACATTGTTTTCTTTTCATCTTAAATCAATTTTCCTGTTCTTATTTATAAAAAAAAATGCTTTATCAATTTTTTCTCATATGGCCGATATCAGCCATGTCATTCTACAACTAAATGAAGTGTAGAATGTCAGTGCTATGTAATTATACCCGTAGGTAAAAAAAAAAATGATATATCCTTATCCTATAGATTAACCAAAACAATACCTCAAGATGTCTTATTTTGTTGCACCCTTTGTGTTCTTACTTCTGTTTCCAGATGCAGATACTTTTTGTATTTGAAGATTTTTTTAATTGCAGATAAGAACAAACCGTCAATTAATAACACGTATATATAGTTCACATCATCCCAGCAATGTCGTGACAGTGCTGAAATCTTGGTTTACACATTGTAGACTTTACTCAAGCAATGAGTAACCTGACAAAGCAATCTGTACATAGCACTGACATTCTACACTTAATTTAACTGAGTATAAAAATAGAGTTGACGTATCTAAGCTCTAAGAAAATATATACTGTAAAATATAATGACAAGGCTGATATCGGTCATCATAAAATCAAAGGTTTAGATAGCTTTCTTAAATACATGTAATTAGAAAAAAATAAAATCTTTTAAAATTTTTTTCAAATAAAAGATAATACCAAGTATGTATAGTTAATCTGAATTTGTTTTTATTTTATTTTCAAGGTGAAGGATTGTCATCTGATCTCGATAACCTACGGAAGGAATTTGGGGAGTGGTATATCCATTGATCATGCTGAACCAACCCCGTGGAAGGTGATTCATACCTCAATAGGCGTTTTCAAATACAATGACCGGGTGGAAGATTTTTCATATCGCAGGTTTCAAAATGAATTTGTACGAAATATTTTTGCTTTTTTATTTTGAATCGAAAATTCTAAAAATGT